ATCCCAGCACTCAGGAGGCAGAGGCAGGCGGATCTCTGTGAGTTCAAGGCCAGCCTGGTCTACATAGTGAGTTCCAGGACAGCTGGGGGCTGGGGCTGACCCTGGCTCAAAAAGACTTAAAAAAAAAAAAAAACCCAGAGGGAATCATATTAGCCCAAAAACCTACTGAAAAATTACACATACAGTAGCTCTACATGAGCCCATGTGCACAGCTGAAGGCTACATAACAAGAAACAGTCTTTCTTTGAGGTTTTGGCCAGGGTAGTCCAAGACACTCCCCAAATTACACAGTCCTCGATTGCCTCCCACAACTTAAAGGTAAGACCCTATTGCTGAAAACAGGACATACTTCAGACACAGGATTTGGAGCAATGGAGCTGGAACTGACCTGGAAGCCACCTCCCCTTGAAGGCTAGCTCTCATAGCTTTGGAGAGCACTACGCAAGTTGCTAAGGGAGAACATCAGTTGATGGTCCAACCCCAGCTTTAAGGCTTAATAATCACAACAATGACCAGCACAGCAAACTATACTGGGGCAGTAATGGAACTTTTATCTTGGAGGTAATCAACAGCTATCTAATTGAACTTAAAGCCCACTCAATATGAGGAAACTCATGTATGGTGCTATAAACCTAGCCAAATACATATGGTTGGAGATGTCATAGATTTAGAGAAAAATCCCAAGGCTGTCATATCCCTAGTCAAATGCAATTTACTATGTGAAAAATATGTATCCTTATATTTACAGACAATTATCCCAGTCACCACCCATTAACTGGTCATACACAGAGATTGTCTGTGAATTGCCCAAGTCTAAGTGACACATCTACAATGCAACCTCTATACCTCAGGCTCATGGAACATAGTGGAACAAGGGGTGGAGAGAATTCTAATGCATCTCTTAACACTCATCAGTGTAGCTCCTCATTCAACAGAGGGCCAAGAATACAAAAGGACACATATGGCCAAAGCATAGAGAGTAAAAGTCTACAGGGTATGGGTCCTTGGACAGGACTCTTATATTAAATTCCACCCACCGAGAGCTCAGGGACCATTGCAGAAGAGAGGGCAGAAAGATTGTAAGAGCCAGGGAGGAGGTGCATGACCACATAAAAATAGAGTCCTACAGGTTCCTGGAACCTTGCTCATATGAACTTACAGCAATGGTGACAGCATGCACAAGACCCATGCAAACTCAAGCAGACAAAAACCCAGCACAGAACTGTGGAAATGGCAGAAGGCCCCAATCTTAGCCAAATAACTATTGTCAGCTGATTACTGCTGGGTAAGGAAGAGCTGACCTTCTTAAAGGGAGGGACTCTAGATAGACTGGACCTCAGTAGATGAATTTGCTTAGGGACATCTGGGGATAGGCTTTAACACAAATGACAGAATGCATAAATTCCAGTGTTGGGCAGGGTTATGGGAGGACCCCAGTGAGGAAGGGGGTATAAAGATGACTAAGATGTTTT